ATTGCCAAAGATCTAACCGACATTGGCAATGGAAAGACAGAAATCATTCGGAAATTGACGGACTCTTCGTTCAGACGGTCGGCGTTTAGAAACGTAAGTTACCGCCTTAGAATATGATATCATTTGTTGTACTGAAAATATCTAATATCTTTCTAATAAAGTATAGTGCTCTGGGAATTGAAGGCCTTAGTAGAGAAAGGATGCTCCAAAGGCTCTCAAAGCATAATAATGAAAACATAACGTTGATTGGCCGTGACATAACAATTTGTAATAATCTGCTTAGTATGACTTTCGAATGACAAGCAAATTTGAGCAAGTCATGATAATTTTTGATAGGAACTTTTTTTCAAACCAAAGACTTCAAATGATTTTTGCTACATTATTCCGATTAATCATGTTCTCAGTTGTTCGATGTTTATTTCCAGTTGAAAACTCACGCCACTGCCTGCATCAACGACCTCGTCAATGCAAATGCCTTGGTAAGAGATAAACTGGATACCCACGAACTATTATTTGGAAAACATTCCTTGACAAAATACCTGCCTTGGAATAAATATATTCTATGACCATGTTTACGACGTGCAGGATATCGGATAGTAATGTCAAGGTTTAAGTAGCATTCTGAATAGACTTTAGAAGAAGGAAATAACTGTGTGGCACCTATCAAAACGGTCTCCTGGCTTTCTGGGACTCAACTCTCTCTAGCGGTTGCGTACCTTGATTTTTGAGAATAGAAAAGAAAAAAGGAGCATAAAACGTTAAGTTTGCAGTCAGACGACGGACCAACTGTTAACAACCAACTAGAGACTGCACATACGAAACATCGATAAACTATGGGGTGTCAGAGGCCCACATTGCTCGTCTGGTACCATCTCCTTCTGGTGTATGTGTAATAATCGGATGTTTGTGCAATATCCCTACAAGATTACAGAATTCAACTTGAGTCAATGCTTCACTTTAGAAATAAAATTTCCAGCAATTTGCTCATGAGTGAATTTTCAAAAAAAATTAGTTCATGTTTATTTACTTCTTCAGGTTGATGACTATAACGCATCCACCAGGCTTGAAGACATTGGTCAGATTGTGCGACAAATTGTCCAATCTTTGGATCACATTCTTTTCACAATCGAAGACATAGAAAAGGTTTGTTAACATCGAGTTTTGAAATTTGCAGTAAAGTTTGATGCAGATAAACTAACATCCATTAACTTGGCATTACAAATCATGATTCTTTTTTAACTTGATAATGAGTAACTTGATATCACAAATTATGATTCTTTTTTTCAAAATCATCCAATTTCTGAGAATGTCTCTGAATTCTTCATCCACAGAATCCAATGGTTACAACAGTCCTGAGCGTCGAAATACAACTTTTACTCGACTTTGCAACACTGGATCCAGTTGAAAGCTCAAAATCTTTCAGGGAAATAATGAAAGAACTCGAGCAACTCTTTCAGGTCTGCGATCTTAGTTGCAAAGAGGAGTTCGATGTTGCCATGATGTTTGGGGCAGGCATTTTCAAGATTGGTCCCTTCAAATTCGAAAGAATTGAGGCTGTGGATCAATGTTGCGACCAACGAGGTCAAGCCCAATTTTTGGAGAGTGGGATCAAAGGGAGAAAACGAAAGAGACAAGATGAGGTCTCTTCACATGATTTGTCCTCTAATGCTTTGGATGAGCAGTCAAAGAAAAAGGTGAAGCAAGATGCTACAGAAGAATGGGAGACTCAAGAAAACAAGAGACTCTCAACTGACTGTAGTGTAAACAAACGGGCTTTAGCTAGAGACAGATTGAATCAAAAAGAAAAGAAAAGTCTCCTAAGAAAAACGAGGTTATGTCGGATAAAAAAACAGGTTGCAAACCTTTTTGAAAAGAAAGCGCGCTTGACAAGTAGAAATTTCAGAACTAGAGGATATAATTTTTTTATATGGCCCAATGTTTCGTTGATCTAAAGTATCTCTAAAGAGAGAACGAACAGGGTCAGGTCCCTTCCCCCATCTTTTACTCTATGTGATGAGCATGCAACCTTGAAAAGTTTGTTTAATGCGGTAAGAACAATTCGATGAATAAAGTAATAGTTTATATGTTTTAATTTATCAATCTGATCGAGATTTTACCAACTGAAGCATATTATATAATCATTAAAAAATAAGTAATTCCTTTGCTTTTTAAATGTATAATATCATAATGTATTATGAAGAGATGTTTTATAAATGGAATATGTTTAAAACAATACTGAGTCTCTTTTTTTATTGTTCTGTTTATTTTTCATAAAAATGGTGGATGTAGCATTTTGAAGGTAGAGTAGGAGCATAAAATCACGTCACAATTCGCTCAGTACGTGAAGAAAATAAAAAAAAAATTAGGCCAATGCAAAGAGTTTTCATTCAACTATTAATCACGTTTTATCCTTTTTGGTCTTGATAAGTAATATCAATGAAGATTTAACGAGTCTTATGTAAGAAAAATCTACCCATGCGACACATTTGAAACATAACAAAAAATTTATGCTGGAAGGTGGTGAATCATAGGATTTGAAAGATACCATAAAGGGAGGATACGGAAAAAAGATGCAGAAGCTGACTAGGAAGATATCCAAAACTAAAATGATCTGAAAGTGTCGGCAAATATAACTGAGATAATATTCAATGGCAATGAGCGACAAAAAAAGATTATTGAGAGACCTAGATGGAGAACCAGAAGTAAACAAATAAGGATGTGAAATAATCGAAGGCGGCAATAGAAACATTGAGATTTTCATTTCCAACGATCAACTAGTAGTAATATTTGAATTCAGCTTGGTTTTGGAGTTAAATGTGGACAGAAGTTGGAACCAAAACGAGCCCACCAGAGGTTTCTTTGGCTTGAACGGCGAAAAGACCTAGTTCGTCATAATTAACGAACATATTCATAACTCAAAAATTCTACAATTATCTACACATTTTTGACTTAACGAATTTAAACGTATGCTCTCTTACAAAAGATACCTTTCATAAGCTTAAAGCATCATATCTGGGAATAACAGCAAAATATGAACATATTATTGCAATGCCAAAAACTGCTACTTATACCGAGAATACACATCAAAACATTGTATTTCTTGTACATCAAAATAAAGATCCTTGAAATTATGCATGACAAAATAAAGATCCTTGAAATTATGCACGACAAAATAAAGATCCTTGAAATTATGCATGACAAAATTAAGATCCTTGAAATTATGCATGACAAAATTAAGATCCTTGAAATTATGCACGACAAAATAAAGATCCTTGAAATTATGCATGACAAAATTAAGATCCTTGAAATTATGCACGACAAAATTAAGATCCTTGAAATTATGCATGACAAAATTAAGATCCTTGAAATTATGCACGACAAAATAAAGATCCTTGAAACTATGCATGACAAAATAAAGATCCTTGAAATTATGCATGACAAAATAAAGATCCTTGAAATTATGCATGACAAAATAAAGATCCTTGACATTATGCATGACAAAATTAAGATCCTTGAAATTATGCACGACAAAATAAAGATCCTTGAAATTATGCATGACAAAATAAAGATCCTTGAAATTATGCACGACAAAATTAAGATCCTTGAAATTATGCACGACAAAATAAAGATCCTTGAAATTATGCATGACAAAATAAAGATCCTTGAATTATGCATGACAAAATTAAGATCCTTGAAATTATGCACGACAAAATAAAGATCCTTGAAATTATGCATGACAAAATAAAGATCCTTGAAATTATGCACGACAAAATTAAGATCCTTGAAATTATGCACGACAAAATAAAGATCCTTGAAATTATGCATGACAAAATAAAGATCCTTGAAATTATGCATGACAAAATAAAGATCCTTGACATTATGCATGACAAAATTAAGATCCTTGAAATTATGCACGACAAAATAAAGATCCTTGAAATTATGCATGACAAAATAAAGATCCTTGAAATTATGCACGACAAAATTAAGATCCTTGAAATTATGCACGACAAAATAAAGATCCTTGAAATTATGCATGACAAAATAAAGATCCTGCAAAAAACGTGAAACATTTTGTAAATTATGCAAAATTGAAGGATTTGATAGAAATTGAAGGATTTTTGATGCAAATACTGATTTCTCTTACAACTTTTCACCCTGAATACATTATAACCCGGCTTGGTTGGAACGATCAGAAACAGATTAAAAACGGGTCGAAGAAAAGTGGCGTTTCCATTGACTCACTTTAAAAACGGATAACTTTTAACCCGGGTTTGTTTTAACCCAGGCTAGTGGAAAGGCTGCCTAAGACAAGAGAAAGAACACGAAAATACC